GTAAACACTTAATCATATATCTTTTTCCATGGACTGGCATAGTAAATCGACGTTGTTTATCCCTGAGGTGGAAGGGATTTAGCGTGATTAGCATACATACATACAATGAAATCATATTCCATGCCTGGGCTAGCTCATCTGGAATGATTCAAGACATAAACATTCAAAGTTATGATCTTTTTATTACAGCAAATTATACAGTGATACTATCATATTCTGGTCCAGCAGTATTGGATTCAATGATAACTTTTCAAGCACGTCTTTATGATCGTTTTGGGCATTATGAACAGTCCAAAAAATTCCACTACACTTGGTCAAACACAGCTAATCAATCGTATGAAGAAACCTGGGGTGATTACCAATCATCTTTATATAAAGTCTTTCCCAGTGATATGATAGAAAGAGGACAATATTTAGTCACAGTTTCTGTTACTGGTGTAGGAAAGCATATGTTAGCATTTGCCAGCCTTCCTTTTATTTTGACTGGTGAGAATTTTTTGTTGTATTATTTGTAGATCAGTGGGTTTGAAACATGTGTTAATGCTTTTCTGTTAGGTAACAAATTAACTTGAAGATGCGTTACTTTAATAATTTGGTAATAGCCCTCTTGAACGTTCGTCAAATTAACCTTCTTACCTAACCTGACAATCACTGTGTCACAAAATGCCAGTGCTGGAGAGGGTAGAAATTTGATTGGTTACAGAAGACGTCATCGAGTCAAGAAGGCTGACGTTAGACACTAACTAAAATGGCTACATTGCAAAAAAGCCAATAAAAAGAGCAAAAGTTAAGTATAATTTTAATTTTTAATTTTTAGACTATTCTCAAATTTTCCCCAACCGTTCAGAAGGAATTTTCTAAAAATTTGATTAAAATCAAACTTCATGATATTCTTTTCTTTTCAGAGAGTTTAAATGGCCAATTGAGCTTAAACCAATCACTACCATATCAAAGAAATGCATCAGTGTTTGCCACTGGTGAGAAACTGCAACTAAAGTTAAATTTAAGTGATAAATTTGATAGGCTTCTTAGTCATGAATATTTCTGGTATATAGATGGTGAATTCAAGGACTATTCAACTGTACCCAGCTATAATATGAGTTTAAGCAAACCAGGCAATCATACAGTGGAAGTTACAGTTTTTGTAACGTTTTTAGATGATTTTGGTGTAAGAAATAGAACAATACCATATGAACATTCCAATAGTAAATCATGTAGTGCTGTATCCATGTTTGATAAATGTGGAAGTTATGTGCATCATGTTCATGCGAAAGGTGAGTTCTACTTTCAATGTTTTATCAACCACATCAAATCTTGTGAGCCATTGGATAAAGGAAGATACGCATCTTTAATGTTTAGTGATTGCAGTAGCACTGGAATAGACAACAGGTTAAAGGCCCATTTTGATTCATGAATCGGTTTTTGGTGAAAACACATTTGATTTGATTCAAATTCTTAGCAATTTGATACTGTAAACAGATACAGAAACTGTAAATAGATACACAAACTGTAAATAGATACACCTAGACAATCAATATTAAGTGAAAAGAGGTTGTTGATCTCCTCTACATAAAGTCTGCATGAGCCAGCATTGTAGTATTTCTCAGGTGACCTTGACCAATTTCCAAAATTGTATTGGCAAATATAGCCATGTCATCCTACTTTAGTAACTCGACAAGGTAATAAAATCTGTGTCTATTGTAGATCCATTAAGCATTGTTCGTATTGATGGTGGAACAAGTGTTGGTGTCAATAGTTTTATAACTTTAAATATATCTTGTTTAGGGAGGTAGGTACCGGTATAGTTTATCTGTTTGTTCAGTAGACAAAACCATAAAAAGTATAATGCTGAGAAGGAGCATGCTACTGAAATTTTGTTTCTATTGCAAATGGTGATAATTTATATCTACAACATTGAATCTAAATGGATTAATTTTTATGTAAATTCCATTAAGCTGCAAGTCATTTGAAAGATTGTCAAAAACATTGTAGAATTCTATTAGGTTATTCTTCAGTATGATACACTACAATCATGGTAATGTGAATTCATTTTTTGCCAAATTTGTTGCAACTGAAGTAGACTTAAAATGAATATGTAAAATTAATTTGGATGCTTTTCTTTTCAGTTCTCCAACTGGGGTGTGTTGGAATGTGACTAAATTAAATAGAAAGAAACTGAATGAAACTTACAGTTGTGTTCCAAAAACTTTCAATAGCACAAATTGTTTTCATAGAATAAATGTAAAGCCTGAAGAAAAAGGCTGGCATGATGTACAATTATCTGTATATAATGATGTGAGCTATTTAAATGGGCATTATTTTATATTTGCTTATAATCCAGGTAAGAAAACTTGTTTTATTTGCTCTTTGTTTCAGATATCAAAATCTAATATGTAAGTTGGTTTGGAAACATCTCTACTGTTATTGAGGTATGGTGTGTGGCACACGGACATTGCAGAATATCTAGTAATTTCCCTTCCATGATTGGTTAAGTATTATTGGATTTAAATGTATTTTGTTTATATTTTCAGACAAACATAGTTCACCAATGCTTACAGTACCAATAGTGTTTAGTATATTAGTATGTATAATTGTCATTATTGGAGGAGTTTATCTATGGAAAATGAAAAAGAAACCATTTATTGAGGTGGCAGATTTTGAATTTCATCCATCAATAGCAAGAAATGAGTCTTATATCTCATTGTCTGTTGTGTTGAGCAGGATGAAAAAATATTTCAAGAAATCAGGCCGAACATTATCAGTACAAAGCTGTGATCCTCAAATACCATCTAATAGACCTGATGCTGACAGTAGTGAAACCAGTAGACTTATTTATGAAACTTTATAACCTTAATTGTGTTTGTTTGAAATTGGAAAGTTGCTTTACCAGTGCCCATTTTTTTTATACTTTCATACTATTTAGTATTTGCATATTGTAAGAATTGGTAGATAACTGTAGGATAACCAGCCATAAGGAACAACTTGTCTTTGCATTTTGTTAAAGAGAAATCAGAAATCACATGGAAATTGGAATGATACTATATGTATCTTCTTTACAAACACAGAATCTTGCTAACCCACCAAACTTCAAGTTACATAGCTTTAAACCTGAGATGCTAACTTAAAAGTATTCTACCTAAACATGAAATTTAAATTCTCAAATTTGGCAAATAAGAATATATATCCATCTTACATATCCCTGTTTAATCCGAACAACCCCATAAAAACTTAAATTTGTTCATTCACTCAGATATATATTACGTAATTTTGTAGCTGGCAGTGTCCATTAATGAGCTACTGTTAAGAAATCTTGGTTTGTTTTAACACATGTTATTTCAGCTAAGCTCAACCATCATAGCCAAGTGAAGACATCCAAAATATTTGTTAGATTTTAAGGACATTGCGATCTCATTATCTTAGCTAAAGATACCTTTAATATCTGAAAGTTGGCTCTAAGGAAAATTTGTTAACTTCGATGTGTACAACTGAAGATATTTTGCTTCTTTCTTGTGAGTTATTTCAATCATTAAATCATGAGGAAACAGCTGCATGTCTTTCGTCATGAAATGGTTCAAGTCTTGATATAAAGGCAGATATAAATAGTTTGCTTTTTTTTTAGTAATGTACGGTTACTATACTTGCTATCCACAATCTGGTAATTAGTATTTAATTAACTTCTAGGTTAATCAGTGAATAGAAAAACTTTTCTGTGCATTTTGTGTTAGAAAAAATTTGATTTCCACTTTTTTTCCTCTCACATATTAAAATATTTATCTACTACATGCGATTCATTATTGAATATTCAAAACACAAATTATTATAATAGTTTCAAAATCTTAATATATGGAAAATATTATATATGGAAGATAGTGCTATTATCTACAGATAGAGTTTATATTATTTATGTTCAAATTGTCATACCTTTCCCCTTATTTTTGCTCATTTTGTTTTCTTTAATTGGGATATTTTATAGTCCTAAATGGGAGGACTGTCCGACTTGATTTTATTATTGTTAAAATATCAAACAAATCTTATGAAATCGATTGATACACAATGATCTTTTTAATATGAGATTGCTGGGGTCAATATTCAGAACTTGATATTTATTTTAAGGTAATGAATGCACAAATAGGGTTACAGTATTGATTTATCTACAATTGTTTTGTTTTGTGAAAGTGATATATTTTTGGAATTGATAATATATTATGCAAAGATTGTTGTTTGTTTTATAATTACATGTATTAAAATAAAGACTACTACAGACAGGTTTTTCTTCTTATTGCTGTTAACATTTCAGCAATATATATATGTAATATTTCTGTGTTAAACTTGAAGATAACATTACTGTTGATCAACTAGATTTGACATGACCCCAAGCACCTAGAAAAATCTGGCAACTTCAAAATACAAATGTGATCACAGGAAAAATAATGTTTCTTTAATTATGATTTCTGAAAATAGAAAATGGCCATTGTCCGCACTAACAATCTACTAGCTTGTTGGGTACCATAACTTTGTCATTGTATGAACTTTATAAACTTGCTCAGTAACCATAGTGTTTTGATACCTACTGAATACTAAAAGCAATTATTCATCATGAGACAAGGTGATTAAGCATGCAAGATATTGCTCTTAGACCAAATGTTGTAGATGTAGTTTGAAAGGGCTGACGTGGAAAAAGTTTCGTTTTTTTTCAGACTGCTAACAATTAAGATTTGAGAGTTGCAAATCAAAGAAATTTTCCACATTGCTCATGACATGCATCTGCAATAGTAGGATTCAAAGCTCTATTTCATGTTTTTAAACTTTTAATATAATGGTAACAATTTAACAACTTTAAATTCAACCACTTACAAAAAATATCACAGAAATTACATAATATCACAGCTTCTGAATGGTTGACTTCATTCAAGTAGATGAATGATACATAATTATTGTGTTGCAAAGTAATTCAAAACATTTTCTGTATCTGCTAAATCTAATGATAAAATTCTTACTGTATATTTACTAATTGAATCTTTATTGTATTTGATCAACTGAAAAAAAAATTGAATAATTTTTACTTCTAAAACTCCTTTTAAAGCAAGTTATTTGTCATTTCATGTCAAATTATACGACTGACCTTGTTTGCACAAAATTATATAGATTAATATCTATTAACAAATGTTCAAATATCTTTACCTTAAATTTGATTTTACATCTTTCTAACAGATATTTCCATTTAATTTGAGTTAACTGATCCAAACTGACATGATTAATTTGATCAGCCTGAAATGTGTGTTAAATTTGCATATCTATGAGATTAAATAAAAATATTTCATCAAGCCGCACATTGATAATCAGCTCGTTCTTTTTGTGGAGGCCTCCATGGACAAGACGATTTTTGCTTAATCTCATTTCAAAGAAACTTGACTCTATATTCAGGAAACACATTCTTAAAAAAGGATTGATAGAAAATAGTAACATGTGGCACATGTTAAAAAATGTCAAAACTTTGAGTACTCGAACACTCTCGCTAATCCGACATTATTTTGCGATCCCAGTGTATGTCAAATTATGCAGAGTATACTGTTCTTATAATTGTAAAGAAATATTTTTAGCATTTTATATCTTTCCTAAGCTGACAGACCTAATTTCAGTGGTAAGTATCACTTCAGAGAATGAAAATGTGGTAATGTTTTCATCTGATATTCAACCACCTACATACAATTATCAAGATCACCACCATGATTATTATCAACAGTTGCTTCTGAAGTTAACTTACCGGAAACCCAAGCATATGTTCAGCTACTGTAGGTTGTAGATGTGTAAAATCTAAGGTAGCTGTATGATCAGATATAGACAAGGTAATATTATATTCTAGATTATAATTATCATTGATCATATTATTATCATCTTCACCATTACATACTGTATTCAAACATATATAATTACTTTCTTTCTTTAATACTCTTTTACATTTCTCACTGTAATAATAACACAAATTTCATGGTGACTTCATATTTGTGTAGATTAAAGGGAGATAATTTCCCCAAAAATAAAAGAAATTGCCATGAAAACTGCACAGCCTCATTGAATGGAAATATGTCCATGAAAAGGAATGGACGAAATATTCCTCATAGAATTATATAATTTTTTTGGAAAAGAAAGAAGAATGACACTCTGAAGACTAAAGGGAGATAATTTTCAAGCAAAAAATAGCTAAGAACTATATAAGATGGGGAAATTTCATTCAAAATGAATTCAATAAAGTGCATAAGCATTATCTTCTTCCTTATCATTAGTCTCCATGATTTTGCTTACAGTGATGATGAACAACATACAAATAAAATTCACATCATATTGTGCATTCATGCCACTTTTTCACTTGAATTGCAACAAACCTAAAGTTTTGTGTTACTCAGCAAGACAATATAACTGGAAAGGCCGACAAATATAAACACTAGTATATTCATATATAAAACATAACAGAACTATATTACCAAATTCTTTTAGTTATTATTTTATCTTCATTATCAATGTCCAATAATGATACAAATACAAATGCTACACCATAATCTGTCTGTTTATCATTTTCATCTTGTGCCTTCTTTTTGATTTCTTCTACAGTATAAATATCTCTAATGGAATCCACTGAAAAAAGCATTGACATTAAAAAGTAAGGAGCACTGTGGCTTGAGTCACTTGCAAAATAGGGTATGCTTATCCTTCTGCAAAACCAGACACCACTCTGCAACTGAAAATGTGAACTTGTTACCCATTTAGAGAGTCCACATAGCTAATATTTGATGTATCCATACGATTATCTATATTATACTATATGCTTAATATGAGTTTTTAACACAAAGAGGCCTAAACTTTTACATTGTAGTAGTTTACATATATGTCACAATAAATGTGTCCCATTTAATACAAATGAAGTACAATGTAACAATACATACAATCTGGATCAGGTTCACGACTGAATGAAACATTGCCTTCATTAAAACTAGTATCTTCGGTAAAACTTTTTTCAGAAGTTGCGAAACTATGTAAGCTGTAAGCTTCTTGGGTATCTTAAAACATAAATAATAGAAACAATATAAAGATGGTTAATAACATGACATAGTCTATAGTTATCATAACAGATACACAACTTGTATATGTATCCAGTTAAAGACAATTTTCGTATGCCATTTTTGAGTGTTGATTTAGATCTTGAATATATGTAAATAGTCTTCAGGAAAACTGCATGAAAATTCCTGATCCCTTCAAATATACTTCAAACTAAAAAATTCACTTCCTTTTTCTATACATTTCTTTTCTATATGTTACGAAGTATCAAGAAAAGTTGTGTCGTCAATGTATCTTTCAAATTCTGCACAGATGGATTTGAAGGCTCAAATTTCGATGGTGAGCTGTGAACACTATTACTGATTAGCTCAGCAAAAAAATTCCCATTTCTGTGACTAAAGTATGATTGGTCAAATGGTGACCTCCTTTTTATGGCATATTGGATACGTCTACATAATTCTTCTGATATTCATAAATCTCTGTGTATTTAGAAAGAAGTCAGATTGTAAGATCATTGTTAATGAAATAGCCATTACAGGAATATAAAGGACAATCAATAATATTATTAATTATATAATGAATATATAGTACCTGGATCAATAGTAAAAATAGTTTTTGAATCTGATACAGCAATCATTGATGATTTAAATTCATTATAAATTATCTTAACATCTGCAGCAAATATTACTGAAAACATGTATGTTATATGTGTATATGTAAATCATAAGATTTTAACAATCATTTGAAATAAATTACTAATTCAATCCAGAATGGTCAGCATGTACAACAGCATATCAATACTGGAATGAATTAAAGCTTCAAATTTATGTAGAGAATTGTAGAGACTTTGCAGACTAAGTGTAGAGTTGGGTTGACAATTTGTTTCTTTCTTTGTTTGCAGCTATGCTATAAAGGAGCAACTTCACATGTCAGTCCTTCCACTCCCCTAACCTCTTAATTATCTAGAGAGCACACAATTTGTATATTATATTTAATATAAGTTAGAATAAAACTATTGATATACCTGTTTGATGAGGTATCCATAATTGAGCTATATCAACATTGTTATTCCATCTGAAACAAGTGACGATAAGTTTCACAAGTTAGGCACATAATGGAAAGGAAGGTGGGAAACACCATGTGGTGAGAAATATTAAGGGAAAGTTTGTAAGCACAATAAAATCTACTCTTTTATGAGTTTTAGTTGACACTTTCAGTGGAAATCAGGTTGAATGTACTATCTTGACATAAGCATTGGATCCCTGGATTAGAGATCAATAGTCTAACTAGCTGAGCCCTATCACAAGTAAAGTAACAAGATCTAAATATTTCTAATAGTTTTTGAATGTAAACCAGAGATTTCAATCTTAGTAGTATCAAAACAGAGATTTCAATCTTAGTAGTAAAACAGAGACTTCAATCTTAGTAGTAAAACAGAGATTTCAATCTTAGTAGTAAAACAGAGATTTCAATCTTAGTAGTATTAAAACAGAGATTTCAATCTTAGTAGTATTAAAACAGAGATTTCAATCTTAGTAGTAGTAAAACAGAGATTTCAATCTTAGTACTAGTAAAACAGAGATTTCAATCTTAGTAGTGGTAAAACAGATATTTCAATCTTAGTAGTAGTAAAACAGAGATTTCAATCTTAGTAGTAGAACAGAGATTTCAATCTTAGTAGTAAAACAGAGATTTCAATCTTAGTAGTAGTAAAACAGAGATTTCAATCTTAGTACTAGTAAAACAGAGATTTCAATCTTAGTAGTATTAAAACAGAGATTTCAATCTTAGTAGTGCCACTGCCACGATTGAAACTAAATTCAATATCCAAGCATGCACCATAATTTCAATCCAATGATAGCAATTCACTGTACATGTATTTTCAATTTTTAAGGGATCTTTAACCCAATAAAACACTTTATGGTAAAATAATGGTTTTCTTTTCGTGTTGTAACCAAGAGCATATTGCATTAAAAATTAGGTGTGTGTATTAAACAACATAAAATAAGTCACAGTTTAATATATCTTTTGATATCACCAGTTTTGAATAACTTACAAATCTAAAGGAAGATTAGCACAAGTTTCATCAAACAATATCACTTCACATTTCTTTGTAGTCTTCCCTGTTTTGGTTGTTATATTTCTTACTTTTCCTAGCTGAAAACAATAAACAAGAGGCAATAATCACTGACTATTTTGTAATTAACTTATATAAATATCAATTTGTTACGTAGAATTATAAACAGTTATTAATTTTGTGGAAAGACATTTTGATATTCAACGATTTAATTGAGTTGAAAAACAAATTCTTATGTTTTTTGAACTAAAGTCACCTAATCATCCAGGCATTTATACATTGGTGAATAATTGGAACATAGTTCACAAATGTAACATGACACTGTGAAATGGGCTCAAAAATTTCTGTTAAACTTGAAGGACTCATTATATCTCTTTTACTTTTATTTTTCCCTCTTTGTGTCCTTCACAGCATTGCACGTCTTCATTAACCTACATGGTGTAGAAAAGTAGGACATAAAACTCCATACATTTCATTTCATTTATTTTCTTTTACACTTATTAGACTGTATGCATTTCCTCAACACTTACCTTTTTAACAGCAACCAATAAATTAACATGTTCTCCTTGTAAAGACATACCATTAACATTGATATCATCAAGAGTATAGTAATCATTATTAGCTTTATTAGGTATATGTTGTAATGATCTCAAATGATCAACATCCCAACCATTGTATACCTCTATACTACCATGATTTTCTGATACATTCAGCTGAAAACCACTGAAATATTAAAACAAATTGGGAACAATGAAATAAACTAAAATATTACATTTGGCTGAAATATCAATGATATTGAATATGACGAATATTTTTTGGGCTGAAATTCTCTTTAATATTGAAATATCAGAAATCAACTAAAACATAAAACCTTTCTGATTTTGCCATTTGCCATATTTCGAAATTTATTTCATCAGAAGATCAGACAAGGAAGGTTATTTTGTTGTTTCTTCAAATTATGTACAGTTTAGAAGACGATCAGATTTTTAGATATAAAAATCACAAAATTCTTTCAGACAAAGTTTTATACACACCTTGGTGTCCATGGCTTGTATTTATCATCCATTCCATTATTTTGTTTTGTTTGAACTTGGGCATTGCTGATTTGAACTGGAAGTACAAGTATACATTTACAAAACTTTTAACAGCAAAAGATAACCATTAGAAATAAATTAATTAGTTTGAGAACATTTAACTTTGCAATATTCTTTCCTGGCTTGAGGTCTTGATTTCCTCCAGATTCAAATTTGATAATTGACAAGACATGTGCAGAAAATTGTTGCAGCAAAGTCCAATATCAGCTACCTTAAGCTTTGCGTTAATTTTGTTCTTAATATAAGAGTTTGGCTAAGTCTGGGATTAAAGTTTTATTTCAAGTTATATTGAAAACATACCAACATCTCCAACTTGTGTAGATCTATTATAATTTGAAATAAAGGTATCACTACCCCACAATGTTAAATTTATAAAATCTTGTTCACTATCTCTAACAGTAAATGATAATAAATGTCTTTCAGTGCCTGAAACAAGAATCAATCACACAGTTTTACATAATATGGAAAGTGCAAGTATCACATATTCCTTACTGAAAAAAGTTATCTTAAAGGGGATAGTAAAAAGGTTTTCTGAACTTTTTATGTGTATCGGGGACATTGATAGCATCAATTCAACCATTCCAATTTGCAATAAGACAACCGAGGTTCTAAAACTAAAACTAAGTGTCTAACTACAGACGTCTAATGGAAAATTGGAATAGGGCAAATTGATGCTCTCAGTACCCCTGATACACATTAAAAATTTAGAAAACCCCTTTAATAAACATGAAATAAATTTAACGTAACATTGAAGGGATATTTGCTTTACCAGCTATTCAATTAATCCTAATTTAAATTAAATGTTCGGTACTCCAACAAGAAAATTAGTGTCCACAGACAAAATTTTTATAGTCTGAGAATTGGTCGTCTAATACTGAAAACTCTTCAGATAACTAAAATTGAGCTCTAAGAGCTCATATTAGATGACAAAAGCTCTCATGTCTTTAAGATCTTAACTCACCTTTCTTATTAATAATAGATTTGGGCCCATCTTTACAAATTATCAATCCTACAAAATTCTGCAAGAGAGTAAATGAATAAATAGATAAACATATAATAAATTACCAGAATATTAAAATTTTAGTGATGTCTATGATGATTTGTAAAGGGTGCAACATTCAATTTGAATGATAAGCTTAGAAGTATATCTGGAAGTTTTAGTTACACATACGTTAATTCAAAGTACCGGTACCGAATTATAGAAGGTTTTTTTTTGTAACATTTCAAGGTAATTTGTTCTGTGATACCGGGTATTGTTTCTTCTCAGCTAGAGCAAAAATATTAGTCTGAAAGTCATTTTGATGTCTGCTAACTTAATCAAAAAACCTAAAAACAAGGCAGATTTTTAAATTACTCTTTGAAAATAACTTAAACTATCAAGCTTACTATATAGGAATGTCCAGAAGTAATATCTTGTATCTTAATTTCTGATGAACTACTGGATGGAGTATTTGTGGGTTGTCTTGTCTTCTGATTAGCTTGCATATTCAAATTTAATTTTGGAACAGTTTGAAAATCTGTAAAATCATGATTCCATGACATTTTGTCCATTCACCAGCAGCAATCTGAAATATACATACAATAAACACAGTAATGATGTAGAGGGCGTTGGGTGTTTGAAAAGTAATTAATCAACGATAAAAAGCCTATGGCTGCAAATCTCTTTGAAGATGCAAGTTGATTCAAATTTATTTTGTGGAAAATTGTTAGGTTCCAAAATCAATTTCAGAGGCCTCAAATACAGAGTCAAAATTGAGGCTTATATAAGCTAGTACTTTAATTAGGCCTAACTGCCAAAGCCAAAAGACGGGGCAGTAAAAGGCGCAAGGTTGTTAGCCTATTCATTCAATCGTATCCGCAAAACCTAGTAACTAAGTTCCGCTCAATAATTCTGCTCTGTGCTGCTTACAGTGCTCAGCTTGTGTTGTAGGCCCTACTGTAAGATAGGCTACATAATAGGCCTAGTGTGAACAAACCCTTTTAGTGGGCTATCATGAACAATTCTATGGATAGGCTAGGCCTGTCAGGTCTAGGCCTATTTGATTTTTTCCATAGATAACTCAGCAACTTTGGATAGGCGTAGATTCCAGCTACTATCACTGTTTTTTTTTAAATTTTGCTAATGGATTGCAATGGATTCTTCCATAGAACTGTATACTAAATACTTATTAAACAACGAAAGATTTAGCAGACGACGCACCTGTCAATTCCACAAAGTTTTGGATTTGAAAAATTTCAGAAAAACGAAATATTTTGTTTACGTACTGCAAAGAAAATAGCATTTTGTGTTTGCACCGAAGATACCACGAGGTGCACCAAATAAATCGAAAGGAGAAATAATTTTGCTAATTAAAACAATATTCTGTATTCGCAGTTGCGTACAAAGTGTTTTGTTCAAAATGGCCGAAAAAGATAGTCAAAATAAAGATTTTTCTAAAATTATAGACAGCACTTATCACCCTAAGAGATTTTATGCATTCTATTCCTTTTTTCCAAACAAGTAAGAATAGGATGCAAGATTTTAATTATTTATATTCAGGCTCTTGATCTAGTTCGACAAAAAAGTCTAACGACTTGTCATTTAGTTTCCTGTTTAGTTTACATTGTGTAGACAAGATTTATGTATTGTGCATTGAAATCAATCCAATATGCACTTCACATAAAGAACAACATATCCACATTTTATTTTGAATATTTATGAAACCAGAAAAAAATTCAATTCTAAGTCGGCAAAATCAAAGTTCAATGTAGTCAGATAATACGGTGGGTTCGTTTTGCCGCATTGCCCAACATGCCGCATCGTGCCCAACTGCACAAAAACCACTTGTTCAACGAAACTAAAGGTTTCTGATAAAATCCGGAATGGTCATTTGTTTCACACGAAACGAAATATTTTAATCTGTTTTATTTATAATTTGGACCTCTTAGGGAAATCGAAACCATAGTTTTATGGTAAAATCTGGAATAAAATAAATACCAAGTACAAACGATCAGAAACGTAATATAAAATACATAAATCCATAAATATCAAGACAAGTTCAATAAATAAAATATTGGTCATAACTTGCAAGAGTTATGTCCCTCTGCTGCGTGCCTATAACGTCACCCACGTGCTAGAAAAAATGGCAACTGAGATGTCTGAAAGTAAAAATCTTCTGAATAATAAATCAGAATTATCAAGCGAGGAGAAGTTTAGAATTCTCGTATTAGATGTGCCCTATAATTCAGCAGTAGCTGAACCCCCACTGGTTCCAGATAAGTCCCAGAATGTCCTGGTGGACAAGGTAGAAGCTGGGGTTGATTGGCTCCACACTACCATCGGCAGTTGGAGACAAAAATAGACGAACCTGCAATTGTTTAAAAAAAATGACAGTTCAGACATCGGATGAATCCACAGGAAAATAAGTATTGCGGAATCTAAAACCGTGAGCGGTGAGGGTTATATTTTGAAAACTTAGTATTGTCACCATAATAGCAACAAGTATGCCTCTGTAAAAAGGCACAGTACCAAAGTCTTGAAACTATAGTTTCGATTTCCCTAACAGGTCCAAATTATAAATAAAAAGAAAATAGATGCAGGACATCAAATTAAAATATTTCGTTTCATGTGAAATAAATGGCCATTCCGGAAACCTTTAGTTTCGTTTTACAAGTCGTTTTTTTCAGTTGGGCACGATACGGCAAGTTTGGCAATGCGGCAAAACGAACCCACCGCAGATGATACCCGTAGTTTTAGTGGGAGGGTCAGGGAGTAATGAACTACATGTATCATTGTATGTTCTTGCCACTTTGTCAGACAATAGACATCGAATCTTTAGACTGTCAGAACTTCTTAGTCTCACACTTTAATTTGTTATATATATTTGAAAAAAGGATAAGCTTAAAGATTAGGCCTCATATAATATATGATATATTAAGTGTTAATTGACTTTTAATTTTCTATCAAAAAGGTCCATGGTATCGAGTGAAGATGATGGAAGTGAACAAGAAGATTGCAATTTCAGGTAAAGCAGCTTGAAGCTACAGGATGTTCTGTTAAAATATGAACTGTACTTAAGGAAACAATACAGACTGGAAATTAAAGTAAAATATCCAGTGGAAGTTAGTTATTCAATAAGAGACTTCCTCCTTTTGAATTAGGGGTTTCTTTTTTCAAAGTAAAAAAAATTTACTTTAGAAATACATCTAACTATTTGGCTAGTAATGCGAGATTTTAAATCGGTATCGTGATTGACCAATTAAATGACTGGAACACTAAAATTTCTTTAGCATTTCTAGTGTTTTTTTGAAACAGGCTCTAGATTATTTAGGAAATGTCATTATAATACCTTCTCTGATAGGTAAAATTTATGAACATAACAAACTTGAAATTCAAGTAAAAGCATGGAATAAGGTACTATCATAAATTGAGTACCATATCCTTAGAGGGGCGAAAAAAATGAACAACCCTTATTTTATTTTCTAGTTTAAGTGTGGCTGCTACTAATCTACCAGCATCAGCAGAAACAGACTTAAGAAGAACACTTGGTAATAAATTATCAAAAGTTTCCCATTTACCAGGGTGTGGTAATTTTCTATCATTGGGTCTTAGGTAAGAAGTTAGCTAGTATATGTATATATTTTAAAATCTATCTTTCAGTAAGACAGACGTTGGTCATAGGTTTCATTTGAAGGGATTTGTAGATGTGGAATCATTCATTTTCATGGGAGGCTTAATTTTTCAGGATTTCATTGGCCAGCTAATTCACGAAATTTCAAACACTATAATACTTTGAGGATCTGTAATTGATTAAAGGGAGTGTTAACAAGCAATGGTTTCAATAAAAAAGAAGTTACCGGTATTCTAAGAACTGGAAAAAGGAATTCTCACTTTTGTTGAAAAATCAAATTTTACCAATTGTTATTCAGCTTTCAGCTTTATTGAAATTTCAGCTTTAAACCAGTGCTGATAGTTTTTGTTTTGATGAAATTTTTTTTGTAATTTGAATTTAGACCAAACTTTATATTAGCTTTAATTTTTCTTGTGGCTACTTCAGTTAGGGTCTCAAGACAGCCCTCTTGAGCGTTCGTCAAATTAACCTTTTGAATTAATAACTGTGATAAATACCATGTCACCAAATGCTAGCACTAGAGAGAGTAGAAATAAAAGCTAAGAAAAAATTTTATTTAGACTTCCATCTTTAAATAATTATACCCAAATTGTTGCCAATTTTGGTAGAAAGTTTCCTTCTATGACATCAAACATATAAATGATAAGATATGCCTATATTTATAATGTTAACAATGCAAAGTTATTCTAAGACTATCTTTGCTACTTTGAAGCTGATAATTCAATTTACATGAAAATAATTAGAAAAATTTGATGGACAAGAAAATACTATTAAAAAAATAGATATCAACACAACAAATTTTGTCTTAATATGCTTCTGAAAATAATCCATGAAAATTTGGAGCCTATGAATATAAATGATTTCATAGATATATGGCATATGTTTTTAAAAAAAAAGCGACACTATAAACAATAATGTATGAACATATTTTGTATTACAGTTCTTCAGATGATACAAGTAATTCTGCAGTATGTTATTACAATGTATTAAGTTTATCTTCTCCACCAATTGATGATAATGATGCTGATAACACCAATAAGCAATTTGTTGTTTGTTTTGTTTCCTTCTCAGATACTTCATTAGATTTATATCCTTTAAAATATTGATTGATAACATCCGGTTCCATTTGATAAACTTTGAAAATTACAAAAAAAATCTAGATATAAGCTAGCTTCATTGCTGAAAATGTTGTGTTTCCACTTAGTTTAGTTTGTTGTCATAATCACATCTTCATATCGAAATGAGTAAAACTAACACTCTCACTATGCTCAAACAAGGAAAACTGTTTTCTTTGGTCCAACCATTGCTAACTAAAGGTAGCTTTTAGCTAGCACCATGGGGGTCCCCCATAAATTGCTGAACATAAAAATTCAGTTTCAATGCCATTTGTTTGACATTATACCCTTTTGAAACACATTTGAATAAGCTCAAAGTGGAAGTACCGTTTTGAAAAATACAAAATAGTTCATGAAATAAATTCCATGAAAGCTTATACAAATATCAAAGGTGCTTTATAATATTTAGTAACTAGGGCTGCTACAATGACTCGGTGAATCGCGATTCTTTCCTTCTTATCGATGCATTGCATTGGATAAAAATAATTGTGATGTATCGGCACGATTATATATTGACTCCCTTTAATAACAAATGACACAGAATCCTTGTGTATTTAAGACAGTATGTTATGATTTGAATTTTAAGTATAATTTTCAGATAAAAAAATTGTAAAAAATCAAAAACTTCAAGAATTTTTGTTCACAATTCACTACTTCTCAATGTATTCATTTGTTAAAAAGTGACAATATTTTGTAATAATTTTTAAGATTTATACTATTTTTCTCTTTCTTTATCTAGTAAATGAACCACAATATTTATCACAATAAATTGTATCGTTTAGTGTACTTCAAGAATGGTTGCAGCCCTACTATTAACCTACTGTACATCAATGCCATGTAAAATGTTAAATCACTAAGATTTGTCATAATCACCATCTGATCCAAATCATCCTCTATTTCATTCTGATCATTGTACTTTAAATCATATAAATAAGCAATTAAATAAACTTTTGTTGTATTAGCTAATTGACACTTTACTCATATTCTTTTGAAAAATTGACACTACTACTATGTAATAAACCAGCAATGTTTAAAGCAAAGGAATAAATCTGGAATGAACTCTTTTAAGGGTTTTTCCATGGAAAGTTCAAACATGTTGATGATCATTTTTTCTTTAACAGAATAACATTTAGACTGGAGTTAGATAATTATTGTAAATGTATAGTCAAACATCTAGATTCAGAGGTAAGTTGTTATAGATAATCAAGTTGGACTTGAAAAAAGTCTGGGAATGAATTCTCTTTTAAGGAATACTATCTCTTAGAATGGACATAAAATTGAAAGTCTCAAATTTAGTCAACAAGTGTATATATTCATCCGTTGAACTTACCAGTTGCCATGACTAAAGAATACAATTCTCTATATAAGATAATACATCCATTAAACTAAGTATTTTTTAAATATGCTTAGATACGGTGGCTCGAATACGACACATTTCACTTTTAATTTTGAATTAAAATCATCTAAGTTTTTAATTAAATATTACAAGAATTATCACCTAACTTTCATCTTGGTGAAAATAATTATCATCTTGGTGAAAATAATTATCATCTTGGTGAAAATAATTATCATCTTGGTGAAAATAATTATCACCTAGGTGAAAATTAAAGTTTTTAATTCAAAATAAAAAGTGGAAAATGTCGTATGTGAGCCACCGTACTTAGAAGCGTGTTTCAAAAATTATTTAGTTTTATGGATTTATTGGATTGTAAAGGAATTCTGTTGTATAGTTATGACAGCACTGATGAACGAAGAATTATTTGGGCTAAGTTGATAATATTTTTCTCACCCTAAGTGATAGTATGCCTTTAAAGGATAGTACGAAACCTTTCTATTCTTGTTATGTGCATCCTATATCAAATTTCACCATTCTTGAGCATTGTCTGAAATTTCTGAAAGTAACGGAATATGATATTTGGATCCCAGCAACCGTATGCTATCAGACAATAAGGCAGTCTAAAATAACAAGAAAGTCTCTTTACCCGCCCTTTAAATGGGATATTTATTTCTCTAATGTGATTCGTTTATTGTTCCTTGTTACCCAAGTCGATTTATAAGGTTTGAGAAATTGAAATTTGAAACTGAACAGAAAAGCAAGTTCTACCTTGACCAAATTACCCCCATTGTACAGAACCTCGCTTACCTTTTGGTCATTTGCCCTGTAAGGTATAAATTATTTCTATTTTATTTCATTTGTATATCACCTTATTTGTGACCATACTTTTAGTCGCTACATTCATGCTTGCAATAGATTTTCATATTTTGATATTTACCCACAAATTTCTTTGCAGTATGTCTAAATTCTTATTACTATATTGATATTGATCATATTTCCTTTATTTTTCTTCATGGCATGCCTTCAATCATTATACAGACATCATTATCTGATTATGTTCAACCCACACAACCGGTAAGATTCTAACATTATCATTCAGATTTTCCATCTGTTAGTTTTATTTTCTTTCCTTCCTGCATTCATGCTACAAAAAATGTTCCCGACACAAAAATTTCAGAAGGCAGGTTTCTCCTAAGACCTTATTCATGCCTCGTTTTTGAACATAACAAATGCAAGGCTCATAATGCAATTACATCATCTTTTGAATATATGACGTCATTAAACATTTGATCAACAGCAAGAAAGGGGCTTAAAACTCAGTAGCTCAACTAAATGAGTGGGGGCCTGTGGACTTAAAAGTGGGTTCGGCCCCCTCACCCATGACATTGTTTTTAGTATATGCTCTCTTGAGTCTCATATTTTTAAGTAAGGACATAATATTGCCCTCCGACATAAGGTATGATCCATTATATATTGTATGATAACCTTTTAGATACTTATTTTGGTGTTTTAAAAAGAAAAATTATGTGGACAGAGGCTACCTTAAGGGTTGGAGCCCTTGGACTATGGTAGTTGAGCCACTGTTAAAACTGACCTTTCTCAGATATGTGTGGGGGTAAACCTCATCTTAAAGTATCATTAATTAGCTTAATAAATTCTGAATTTAATGATCTAATGTATAATTAGTTTTGAGTTAGTGGAATTGAAAAAGGAGGTGATGAAGATGTCAATGTGTTGATTTCACTGCAGTGAAAAAAGGCCACCTTTTTTTGATTGCGTTATGAACCTTGTCCTGGATTCAATATGTCTGACCAGTAAATAAGGTCTATAATCTTTGCGTTTGATTACTTGAGTCGCGCTTCCACGTCAATGTTACTTCGGCATTGTTTGACATGTGCAGTGCAAGCGCGTAAACGAACGGTTTCGCGCTTACCCAATGGTTGGGATGAGTCGATAGTATGCAATTCTACGGCCACGAAAACTACTGTGTTTACAATATTTCAGAATCGAAATTTGGCAATTTTTCCATATGAATCAAAATATCAAATACAAAATACTCGTGAGAGTCTTAGATTGTCTTTGGGTTGATGGAAATATCAACCACTGTTTACAAACATGATTTTACAGAGGGGAATTTTCAGTCCAAAAAATTTTCTGGAAGGGAAGTGTGTCTATTTCAGATGTAAAATACTGAACCATCTATTTCTATGGACCCGATGACATTCTGAGACAAATGACATACAATTAAAAAATGTATTTTGAGTGAAAGAGCAGCTTATATGGCGATTAACCACAGCAATACAAATGATATTTACTCATTTGAATTTATTTAACTTCGTGGATAGTTTTTACCCGAGGGCAACTTTCGTAATAAAATATTTTGTATTGATCGCAGTGTCCGCCATCTTCTTGTATTGCACATTAGGATACTTGCCGAAGTAACCGGCCCAGGGGGTGGGTTACTTCGGCCTGGCACGAGTAAGCGCAAGTGATGATGTCATCGCTAAAACAAACGCATTCGAGCTTCCATGAGTAAGCGTAGAGCAAGTAATGGAACGGGCAAAATATATTGCATATATTAAAGGGACAGGTGGGGAATTTTTGGGGGTTGATTTAATCTTGAATATATGTAAATAGTGAAAAGTACTAGAAGTCGCATAATTCCTTTAAAAATTCTTCAAACTAGGAATTTTACTCACTATATCTATATATGTCTTTTCTATATATCACAGAGTATCTTAAAATGACGAGTCGTCGTTTTAACATTCAAATGCAGATAATTCTGGACAAACATGGATTTGAAGGCTCAAATTTCGACAGTGAGTCGTGAACACTATAACTGATTGGCTTAGCTAAGAAATTATCTAATTTTTGGTTTATATCATTTGACTGGTGCTACTCTCCGCTCATTTGAGTTTGCTACTTTGTTCTTCTGAAGAGTTAAGAACAGGCCATTAATTTACATTATGTAATTGAAGGATGTACCAGATACTCTTATGTCTTGAGAGTACTGAGTGAAAGTTATGGTTTTGTGGAATTTGTCGGCATTAGAAAATTGAATTTCTGAAAAATATTGTTAGATTTAGAATAAGTGATGGATGTTATATGTTATGATTTATATTTCAGTTATCACAGATTGATAGTAAATTAAAGGAGTACTTAAATGAATGGCATGAATCAGTTTTAGAATATTTAAAGAGATGTGTAGAGTTGTTTGGAGATAAAATATATTATTTAATTTTTACTGTAAGTATGTAACTGTTAGATGTTGACTAATGTTTGACTTTGAACGTTGGAGATTATAAATATCAAATATAGTTGGCTTAATAGAAGCTATATTAGAGGTTGCACACATTGTTATGGTAGATCCTGGGTTTATTTTGCATCTACGTGTACTTACTTTTCTCAGGATAGTGAAATTAGAAATTTAACGCCTTTTCTCAAACCAATAGTTTTGATAAGGATATTGTAACATTTGGTGATAGCATAAGATGAATCCTTGTCACTTTAAATGAAGGTTTTCTAACAAAAATTATGCGTATTGTGGACACCAATAGCATAAATTTGCACCATTCCAATTTTTGATCAGATGTCTGTGGTTCCAAAAAATTCTACTAAAACTAAGTATTTGATGATGTCACTAATCACAAAAGGCCTTTGTGATGAAGCATATTTTGTGATTAGTGACGTCATCAAACAATTAGTTTTAATGAAATTGCAGGAACCACAGTTGTCTGATCGAAAATTGGAATGGTGCAAATTGAAGCTCTCAGTGTTCCTGATACACATAAAAAAAATTAGAAAACCTCTTTACAATCCCATTAAGGGTCCATGTCAAAAATAAGTAATAAAAAATGTTTTAGTAAAATTGATACATTGTTGAAATTTACTAAAAATAATTCATAGAGTAGAATTTACATTTACACATGTTTTCCAAGTTAAAAAGATTGTTAACAGTAGCAAAGACATTGATTATTCAAGTAAAATTGATTAATGTTTGTAGGCATTATTAGATGGTAATTTAATGATAACTGGTGCAGGTCAGGAAGTACAAGAGGATATCAACAAGTAGGTTATTGATTCTTCTAGGCTAGCATGAATTTCCCCGCTTCAAAAAAGTCTTAACCCCTTTCTCCAGATTTGTCATGACCTGTCTCCAGTTTTTTTTCCTGACCTCTACATATGTATGCTTCTAGCACAATATCAAAAAGGTAATAATGAAATTTAAGAAATTGCTAGAGCACCTCAATTATTTGCAATCATATATGCTCGGGGAATCGAATATTCATGTTATTACTATGAATAGAAATAATTCCATTCCTGAGTATTGCTTAGATATGAAATAGATAGCCATATTTATTAGTCGATAACTAGTAAGATTCTGGAGAATCCTGTCTATCAGTCTATACATATGAAAGCCTTTTGGAATTGATTGATTGACTTTCAAAGACTCCAATGCTGTAGATGCTCACATTAAATACGACTGAAGGAGTATATTTAATGATTTCAAATAAAATTTTAAGAATGTTCATGTAAAAAAAACAATTCAAGAAAGCTACTAGTTACGTTTATGATGATTTTTCTTTTAGTAAAATGACAATGTATATATTATAGGTTTATTCAGTGTTGCAGTATATCACCATTAGTTGAACAGTTACAATGTGAAACTGATGATACACTGGTAGACGTTAGAAATCAACCTATTATTAAACTACATCTAGAATCTAACAATATTATATTTGATACTAACGGTATGTAGAAATCAACCTATCATTAAACTACATCTAGAATCTGACAATATTATATTTGATACTAATGGTATGTAGAAATCAATCTATTATTAAACTACATCTAGAATCTGACAATATTATATTTGATACTAATGGTATGTAGAAATCAACCTATTATTAAACTACATCTAGAATCTGACAATATTAAATTTGATACTAATGGTATGTAGAAATCAGCCTATTATTAAACTAAATTAAGAATCTGACAATATTATATTTGATACTAATGGTGTGTAGAAATCAACCTATTATTAAACTACATCTAGAATCTGACAATATTATATTTGATACTAATGGTATGTAGAAATCAACCTATTATTAAACTACATCTAGAATCTGACGATATTATATTTGATACTAATGGTATGTAGAAATCAATCTATTATTAAACTACATCTAGAATCTGACAATATTATATTTGATACTTGGTATGTAGAAATCAACCTATTATTAAACTACGTCTAGAATCTGACAATATTATATTTGATACTAGTGGCATGTTGAAATCAACCTATTATTAAACTACATTAAGAATCTGACAATATTATATTTGATACTAATGGTATGTAGAAATCAACCTATTATTAAACTACATCTAGAATCTGATGATATTATATTTGATACTAGTGGCATGTAGAAATCAACCTATTATTAAAATACATTAAGAATCTGATAATATTATATTTGATACTAATGGTATGTAGAAATCAACCTATTATTAAACTACATCTAGAATCTAACAATATTATATTTGATACTAATGGTATGTAGAAATCAACCTATTATTAAACTACATCTAGAATCTGACGATATTATATTTGATACTAGTGGCATGTAGAAATCGACCTATTATTAAACTACGTCTAGAATCTGACAATATTATCAACTTTGTTTAAAAAATATAGTTGTGGGATTTTGGCTCAATTTGACACAAGAACACATTTGTGGAATGATCAAGGCACACAATTGTTTTTTGTCACCGATTTTTGTTGCCGACTAGAGTCTTGTCAAGAGTTTCACCAGCTGGCTGCGGGCACATGAGGATATGGAAAATCTCCTGTTGATTGTTTTCCATGATGTAGATAATCAAGTGATGATCATGCAATTGAATCGGAAATTCTATCAATAATAAGGTAATCTAAAAATAGCCGGCAAGTGTTTTTTTTTTTATACATTGCCGGCTATTTTAGATTACCTTATTATTGATAGAATTTCTGATTGTATGGCAACAGGATAATCTTGTGTTGAAAGCACAGTCATGAGATTTTACTCATGTGTTGACGACAAAAATCAGCAACAAAAACTGCATCATGAGGTTAAATTTAGTGAACCTTTGGAAAAATCCATAAATTGCCACAATCAGATCAACTGTGCATCGCAGTACCTGCTGAATGTAAGTTTGTATATATTATATTTCAGGTAACATTCCATGTAAATTTTGTAAATTAGCTGGTGATCATCTGTTAACTATAGACTCAAATAACATTACTAAATTACGAGACTCTTTAGAATCAGTTAAACTAGCAGTAAGTTTCCTTATCGTTTTTTTAATCTATGGATGTCATACCTTATATTGGATAATTTGTCGACATAATGAAAAAAAAAAAAATGTTACCTCTTGTGGCACTACTCAGCAGTGACTCAGTGAGTTGGACTTTCGCTCACTAACCTGGAGGTCCAGGGTTCAATCCCACATGGTTTAGATATATTTTCAGATTTTACAACCTTGTTTTTCTCTAACAATACAAGATTGTTTAGTCGTTTGGACAACAAAACTGAACACAAAAGATATAAGGCTAATGCTCCTGTCCTGGTATAGAGCCTCTTATTGCACATTGCATGGTGTTGCCTGTCTTCATTAGCTCATTTAGGTTCAGAAAAGTAAGACGTAAACCTCCAATTATCTATGCATTATATCACTTAAAAATGTCCGCTGTATCACCTTATGAAAAGCATGTTTGATAACTGGTCCTGTCACTCTAATACATGTTTTATACGCCCACACGTAAGTATGGGTGTATATTGTAGTTGCCCCTGTTGGTCTGTCCATCGGCCTGTTCACATTTACCTCGTGCTCACTCTGCAGGCTACAATTCTCCATTGATTCTTATGATCTTTTCTATGTGTGTCAATATCATGATGAAGATGTGCACTATTGAATTTGGTGATGATCCGATGATTTTCTTGAGAAATATCGCAAAAAACTCTGATATCGCGTTCGTTTTTTTTCTCACTTTTTTTGGCTCGTGCTCATTCTACAGGCTACAATATAGAGTTTGTTTTACAGTTCACATTTAGCTCTTTAGCTAGGTTAGAAATTCGAGCAACCTCAGATATTTCGCCCCCCACTCGGACATTAACTGGGCTACGCCACTGCCCTTAACTAATATTTCCTAGAAACGTCACTGGATCTGATTTGAGCGCAACAACCGTCACTACTATATAGGTCAACACAACCAGATCATTTTATATTTGACTAAACAAATCAGTTGAGATGCAAAAACAGATTTGTGATATTTGTCTAGAAGCTTGATATAATTTTGATATAAATAACAGTAAAATTTCCTAAATGAAGTTTGAAGTCTATGCGTCAAATAACCCTGCTTAAACAATTTCAAAATTAAAACTCGACTTCTGGATTGGATTGTTGGTTATTGGGCAAAAAGAAATTGGGCCCGATATTCTTACTGTAGCCTTTACTTTCTTTTGAAATTGTGTGAATATCTATTTTTAGTTTATCCACAACTTGAACAAAGTGAAAAGATTTTTAAAGCAAGCAGAAATAGATCATTATGCGTTATATAGGTGAGTATTTATAATTCAATATTTTGGCATTATTTTTTTTGACAAGGAACTTTGGTATTTTGAAATGTTTTCACCTATAAAGCTGTAATTTGGTTAAAAGATGTCTAATATCCCTAAAAATATGAGGTCAAAATATTATGATCATATCTTTGACACTTTTTGAATAATCTAGAAAATTTCTGGGCCACCCGATATTGGTAACAGCCTAGTGAGACAATTTGTAGGAATGTTCTTTTTTGACCATTGTATCAAGTATATCAAACATGTATTATGAAATTTTAGGGTGTGAAACGTTGTTAAAGGAATATTAAACAATTTTTTTGTTGAGAATCTTTTTGCATGGAATAAGACATTGATTGGATGTATGCTGCTGAATATAGCCCTTGATGGAAAAACTGTAAAAAAAATTGACTGCATGTATAAACAAAGGTTATGATTGTCTCTAGTCTCTAACATGCAATCCAATCAAATGGTTGCATTAACATACTTTGGTCATACAAGAAAATAGTTTAATGAAGTCAATGTATAAGATGCACTTTGTAAAAGCTTAAGATTTTGAAGATGAACATAAGGTAGCACAGGGAAGTAAATGACTTTGTTAGAAATCAATCGCTGGAATGATCAATATTCAAACTAATTACTAAAAATTAACAGGACTTTAACAATTGGCAGCCCTAACAGTATAAGACTATTATTCAAAGCTTCTGCCAATAAGTCAGAATTTATTTGAAAAATAATCTGTCCATTTTATACACCCACATTCTAATGTGGATGTATATTGATATCACCCATGTTGGAAGTCCACAATTAGCTTGTGAAAGCGTTTAATGCCACAATTTTTATCAGATTTTTATCAAATTTGGTTTGTAGGTTTATTTCAGTGAGATCATGGACAAGTTCGAATTTGAGTATGATTGGACAAATGTAAAACAGATTTTCATCCCTTGATCACTAAAATTATTTCGGCTTGTGAAGAAGGTGACAGTTTATGTCAGAATTTTATGAAATTTTGTGTAGGTTTAAATTAACAATATCTTGGACAAGTAAGATTTATGCTACGATTTGATGCATAATGACAAATGCCCTTGATATTCTGAGAATTTATTAGGTAAATGTGCGTGTCTTGCTAGGTAAGGATCATATACAAGATATCAGGTCGTCTGAGTTATAAATACTATGTTTGATTGTTTCTAATATTTCAGGTCATATTTATATTTACGAAAATGTGGGTCTGGTGAATTGTTAGTAAGATATGTGAAACTGGATGCTTCGACAGAAACTTTGAGTGTATTAAAAACTTTAGAGGAATTCATTGAGAACCAAGAAACACCATTGCAGTGATATGTAGCAAATTCAAACTCTGAAATTCATACAATTACAATGGGTTCATTTTCTACCGGTAGATATCCCACCTGTATATCACATTGTAGAATGGGTACGGCCAGATTTGTCAGGCTATAACCTAATATGTATAGGCATGCCTATTTTATCATAGTTAAGTTCCACTTGGGTATTTTTTAGTAATTGCCCTTCATAAATCTGAAGGCATCAAATTTACTCAACAAATGTTAGAAAATACAGTGTTAATCCAATGTATTTTGAGGCCTCATTCTTGTTTGCATTTGACAAAATTTAAGAATCTGAAAACCCAGTACCTAAAAATTGCATATAGATGAAGTTTTTGAACAACAAATGCATCATGAAGTTCTTTCATATTAGAAGATATGTGAAGATTCTAGTGAATAAGGACAGTTATTTTCAACAGCTGACAGTGGACGTTATTGTTCTTGGCAAGCTATCTTTTTAAAATATCAGTTGTATTTTTCTTATTATCGTTATTTGAAATAAAGTTTATGTATTGTTAATCACATTTTAAATTTCCAGATAAATATACATATATATAAATACAGTATAATAGTATTCTTTAGAACTGTCACGCAGTTGTACTGGATAATAGTGACCTTGATAAAAACTATAACTTTCATTGATTTTTTTTTCCATTGCCCCTTTCAGGATCTGTGATCAATTGCATTGGCCCTCTTTCCTCTATCAATCCTTACTATTTCATTATTTTCTCTGAGGTTTTTACTGCAACCTGTTTCATGTCGGTGAACCTATATTATAATTGTCTTCAAATTTTATGCCAGACTACAAAGCACCTCATCACCCTCAAATATATCAAAATTAGAAAATCTCTGTATTTGATCATCCAGACTTACATTTTCAAAAGCTTTTTGGATGGCTGAAACAGATTAATAGTTATATAGGAACAATATTCAACAATTAGCAACACATATTGTATGTTCTCTTCTAGATTTTTAACATTGAATCAGTGCATATTATCTTGCTTTCAAATCAAAGACATTTTGATCACATCTTTTACTAACAACTTCAATAACCTTTTATATTGATGGATTCATGTTACCCTTCAGACTTGTAGATAAAGATGTAAATTTCAGTTCTCGCACATATTGTCTATCAGCTTATCATTTAAACTCATTTACAGCTGGGAGACTAGAATAATGATAGTGAGTAAAGATGACTATTAATTACACAAAAATTGTCAGTCTGACCAACTTAGTGACTAAAAAGTGACCAAAATGCCTTATTGAAGGTGTGCCTAAATCACTTTATCTAAATGACATTGTGGTAATATGAATTTGTGCATAATTATAAGTGTGTGCCTAAATGACATTTGCCTCAATGGTCACATGCCTAAAAGAAGTGTCCAACCAACCTTAATATGTATGTGTAAATGACAGTGAACCATCAAACATATAGAAAATGTCAGTCTGACCAACTCATCTGTCTAATATTAAAATATACTTGGCTATAATTTTTATTACGCTCAAAATATATAAACAAAGAAGTGGAACGACAATACTGCAGAGAATAATATGACATAGTGTATGAGACAATAAAACAATAAAAATAATTATAAACAAAATACTATAGTGACATAACACATTTATAGTGACATAACACATTTATAGTGACATAACACATTTATTGTTGTAAAACATCAAAGAAAGTTACCTAGTGGCGTAGTATTAAAACAATTTTATAACAAAAGTATAAAATAATTGAAAGATAAACAGATTACAAAATAAAACATAATCCTTGTGTGTATGAAAGATGAAGGAATCTTTGATATTCAATCCATGAAAAAAAAGACATCCGTTAGACCAATTGTACCTGAATTTCTAGCTAAGCTATTCAGTATTCACAGCTCACCATCGAAATTAGCGTTTAACAAAGTAAAAAAGACTATTCGTCTTTTCCAGAGACTTTATCGTACATAGAAAAGACATAAATAGAAATAAAAGAAATACCTAGTTAAGGGTATTTTTGAAGGAATTATGCAATTTTTGTTCATTTCTAGTACTTCTAAAGACTATTTACATATATGAAAGATCCAAATCAACCCCCGAAAACAGACCCGTCCCTTAAAATGATAATATCAAAAACTATTTAAAAGTAAGATTCACTTACTAAAAACTTTAAATGTTTTTACTCATTGTAGATAAAATCGTTTTGTTTGTGGATGTTACTACACCTCTCATCCTTGATCTGACACAATTCTTCTTTAAATCATGTTCAAACTTTATCCCAAACTTGTCCTACTGAGCTAACCAATCAAATGTCTGATTAAGGTGAGCAGACAACAGACAAGTAAAAATTTAAGGATGTATATCCCAGAATACCTCAGAAAGGAAATTTAAGTTATTTGATTGATTACATATTACATAGCCCAAACCATGAAATTCATAACATATTCATAAGATCATGATTGGCAAGAGGGGTCACCTAATGAACAGAAGACAGAAACATTGAAATTTCCAATCGGTTTGGAACATGAAAAACAAAATAATGATGATCTTTTACAGTGAATGTCATTGCTGATACTGTATATTTACTGGGTAATCTCAAACTTTCACCCTAAAGATCATCTTATTATAAGTGCATGAGTGTAATTTAGGCTTTATTTGCCCCAAATTCGATGAAATTATGTCAAAATGAAATTGTAAAAACTGATCAAAGATCTAATGATTTGAGGTATGCTTTCAGAGATTCAAAAGGATCTGTTATTTCAGTTTTAGCTGTAGATATTTGAGTCAGAGGTCTTTTATCAAGATTAAGATTGTTATCATGTAGAAAGGTTTTTAGATCTGAAATAGGTTTCATATCATTTTCGCTTAATGAATACAGCTCCTCTTTCAATTCTGGAAAGTTTGTTGGAATCATGGAATGTACATCATCAATTGATTCTTCTTCTTCTGCCTCCAGATTGACTTCATTATCTCCCTTTGAAGAGTTCACTGCTGTTTTGTCTTGATCTTGCCTTTCTGAAATATTCCTTTTGGCTGAAGGATTTTCATTCTGAGAATCCTTTCTGATATTATTATTTTCAATGGAGTTTTTCTTTTCAGCAGAACTATCAAGTGGACATTTTTCTGTTGGCTTCTGAGATGAAGAAATGTCATCTTTGGAGGGCGTTTTCCTTTGCTCTTTAGGAATTACTGTAGAATATTCACATACATTTGATACAGGGCTTTTGTCATTATTCTTAGATGTAAAAACTTCATCATCATCAATGGAAGCATAATGACTGCTGGTATCTGCTTTAGGACTAACAGAGGTGTGAAATTTGTCAATATCTTCATATTGGGCACTTGATGATGATGCATGTTGAACAGTATTTTTATGACCTTGGTTCATATCTATTTCATCATAATGATGCAAGTTAGTAGATTTCCTGTCAGTTGTTGGTCTGAAATACAAATGAAGATAAATAAATCAATCAAACAAGCAAGATCAGCTATATGAAAAGATTCAAATTCATTAAAGTCTAAGAATGTGGAACACAAATCTGGATGTGTACCGAGGGTGACTTCACTTTCAATTCATGATCTGACAAAAAATTGTATGGATCTTTAATTCTGGCTTTTAAATATTCAACCAATCAAATGCTCTGTTAAAGATCTCATGCCACTTTTGACAGTGTTTTTGATTAATTAGCATAAAATATGACAAAAGCAAATCAAAATTTCTCAAAAATTAAATGAAGTATGAGAACTAAAAATAAAAAGCATGAAAAAAAAGAATAAAACTTACACATTTATATTGTCTTTAAATGTCATAGCCTTCTGTAAATGTTTTATCCATTCATTGCATTCATTAGTAGTGCCAGCAGTCTGTAGGAGAAAAAAAATCATAAGAAATTCCTTAAAAGGATAGGTTCAACATCTGTTTGATCACTTATTCCTTAGTCTCAGAAATTATTAATACTATTAGTAATAGTTTTCACAGATCACATACGTTTCCCCCTGTCAGTGATGCAGGTAAGAGGGGCTGACATGGAAAAAGCGTCTAGTCGTTTGGATAGGACAATAAACCGAGGCCCCGTGTGCTACAGGCTGTGCATGTTAAAGATCCCTCGACAGTTGGAAATCGAAAAAGAGCAGACTAATGCCGCTGTCCTGGAAAAATTTCCCTCACCGCGCCCTGCATGGCGTTGCCCGTCTTCATTAGCCCACATGGTGCAGAAAAGTAGGACGTAAAACTCCATTCATTTCATTTCAAAATTCTAAATTTGAGCCTTTAAATCTATGTGTGTCTAGACTTATCAGCGTTTGAAAGTTAAATTGCTGCCCGAAATCAAGCCTTAAAAATGGCAAACAATGGCCCTTAACATATCGTCTTGCATATCACTACATCTCATTGAATCAGTCATGGCTGATACAAACTTTAGGCCTATATCAATAGATTAACTAATGACAATTTTTAAATCACTGAATTAAATAATACAGACTGAAAACTCTCCTAATTGTGGCCATTGTCTAGAAGAAGATAAAATCCAATTGCTTTCAGAATCTGCCAGTCAAAAGGTCAAACCTGAGTGTCACTTAAGAATCTTGTAGGGTGTTAGTCAGTAAGGTCATTAACCTCTTGCTTCTGATTGCATAATATTGTTCCACGTGATAAGAATCTAACTTTTTACTTGTATATACGACTTATATATGCTATTATGTACACTAGATACTTCAAACACATGTTTCCAAATGAAAACAAGTTTGTTAAGATTCAGGTTTCATAACTTGACTTTATTCACAACTGATTTAAAGCTGTCTTGTTGTTTACAAATGGCTTCATGCTACAAGATTTTGAGGGATGAGGAAGAATAACATGTTTGAACAATTAATACTTACAAAAGTGATATTCTTGAATTTGGTAACTATTTCAAACTGTAAGCCAGATTTATCTGAATTTATTTTTCTTATCATCTGAGCTTCTGTTAAATCTATGGAACTCACAACTGATGATCTCTACAAGCAAATCAACAGAGGATACAATAAACTACACCAATCTAGTTTTTGAATGGCATTGGCATTTAGCGATTCAGAGTACGATATATAGACGTCGAAATGTTGCATTAAACTTTAACCAGTGATTGTTGTTCCATAAAGCTGTGTCTATATACACCAATCTAATCAAAAATTTTTTTTCTATTAGCTTTTTTCTTAATATGGTCACTTCAGTTAGGATCTTACGACAGCCCTCTTGAACCTTCGTCAAATTAACCTTGACCAAACCTGATAAACACTGTATCACAAAATGCCAGCACTGGAGAGGGTAGAAATTTGATTGGTTAAAGCAAACGTCATCGAGTTGGGTCAAAAGGTAAATTTGAAGAAAGTTCAAAAAGGCTGTTGTAGATCCTTACTGAAGTGGTTATATTAAAAATAAAAGCATATAAAGCTTAGTCTAAACTACACAATCTTATAGTTATTTTGGATACTGAAAATTGTTCATAATAACTAAAATTGAGCTCTATTAGCTCCCAGAACAGGTTAATAAGATTGAATGCAATGGTTTGCCATTGATTCTATTGAGCTTTATGACTGCTGACATATTTTATGGTCTCCAAACTAATTCAAGTAATTACTTATTTCTCTAATTATTTATTCCTTTTCAATAATCAAAAAACTTCCTTGATAGAAGTATTTCTATAGAACATTTGAAATAAAAAAACAACCTTTTTTGGCAAGAATTATTTAGATTTATATCAAAATCTGAGCGATGGATAAGATAAAGCTATCTATGAAAACATTTCTAAACACTGTCATTATACAATGTTAAAGGTAAATGAATATTACCAGGTATCCTGTTGAGGAAAAATTATGGTAAAAAAAACCACAATACTATATGTGTGTGTTTAATGGGGAAAAAAATCTAATATTAACAATTGCTATTTGAAGCATCTTCACTTTTATCTTAGTAACAATTTTAATAGCATCTCTTCCAAGATTCCAGCTTCCTGAAAGCCAGTTACCTTTGCCTCATAGGATATGTTGATTCTTCCTGTTTATTACAATATAAACCTTTAGTAATTGATTGGTATATGATTAAGTATAAAATGTACCTTGTTATTACTCTGGTGACAATATAACCAAGCATCCTGTAAAAAACACCATGTCTTCTTTTGTTTCCCTAATAATTTCTAAAAACATAAAAATATTAACTCTTGAAAGTGTTACAAATCTGCACTATGTATTATCCACTAAAGATGTAATCATCCAAATGATATTTTTGCAGATTATTTCTGCACTATTGATAAAAGAATGTGAACATTATTTAATAAAAAAGAAATTTAAGGTTTGAATGAAAAAAATTGTTTTAGATGTAAACAAGTGGTTGCCTAGCAAGATACGCCCACTTCCTTGATAAATTTTCAGTGTCAAGGCTTGTTGCCAATCTGTGTCAACAAATCGTAACACAATCAAATCAAATGTGTGCCAACACACAAGCCAACAAATTTAATTAAGTCAAGGGCAATAACTCAAATTCTGTTCATCGAAAAATTGTCAAATTCAAACTTTACCAAGATCTTATCGTAATAGATGATCACACCACATTTCATTAAAATCATATGAAAACTGTAATCTCTATAGTGTTCACAAACAAATTTTGATGCGTGTCAAATTCGAACTTGTCCAAGATCTCGTCAATATAAATCATCACACCAAATTTCATTAAAATCAAATAAAAACTGTATTGTGTTCACAAGCCAATTGTGGACGCACGGACTGACAGGGGCGACCACATTATAATGTGGGCGTATAAAAAGGATAATTCCAATACAACAATAAGACAAATTTAAACATGAACTCCCTGCAATCATATGATCAATATTTTGTCATCTTATTAGTTAGTGGCATTGGCTCAGGGCATCAAAACCCACAACTTAATTAAACAAAATAGAGCATTTCTACAAACTGATCAAATTTTCAATCTAGTGACTATAAATATTTGAAAGTAAACCCCTATTCAAAACAAGATGATGGTTTTACATCAGAAGCATTTTGTTGAAATTACTTGGTGAAAAGTTTGGTGATATTAATCTTCACAATGGTCAACTTAGTCTTATTCACTGATTGGATTGTACGCCAGAAAATATAGCCAATCATTGCCCTCAACAGACAACACTGAACATTATGGCTTATTGTTTTTCAGACTTTCTGTCTAGGACTTTAATCGCTATATTTACAAAACTTCCCTGATACAAGAAAGTGGCTATTGCAGTCAAGGTATAAGTATGAAGTTTGTAATTGCTTGACATTGTGAAGATGAGTGATAAAGCAAGGAAAGTTTAAATTGCTAATATGTAATTCAGGCAATTTACATCTGAATATTATTAGTTAGGTTTGACAAAAAAAAACTTCCTGGTGTAAGTTTATGTAGTTGTTCTGGCATATTGCCATTTATAACTATTGAAGCTTATCCAAATACAATCTTTTTAGTTCAATAAAACATTGAAATCCATCTTAAGTGTTTTAAAAATTTACATTGATCAAACTTGATCAACTGTCATATAAACAAGCAAGTCCTGAACTCGCTGATCAAATGTGAACTCAAACCATTTAAGCATTAGCTAATATAGACTCAGTCTCTTGAAAGATAGTTGACGGTGGGTTGATGACAAGTTAATGCTTGCTTCCAGCGGATGCTGATATTGCACACTATTGAAAGCTGGTAAACAAGGCTCCCTTACAAACTAATAAAATAGTCTTTCTTACAAATTAATAAAATGTTTCCCTTTTTTAAAACTAGTACACAAGCCTACATAATATTAATAAAGTAGCCCCCCCCCCCTTACAAACTAATAAACTAATATCTCTAACAAACCTATAAACTAATCTCTCTAACAAACTAATAAACTAATCTCTCTAACAAACCAATCAACTAATATCTCTAACAAACCTATAAACTAATCTCTCTAAAAAACTAATAAACTAATCTCTCTAACAAACCAATCAACTAATATCTCTAACAAACCTATAAACTAATTTCTCTAACAAACTAATAAACTAATATCTCTAACAAACCTATAAACTAATCTCTCTAACAAACTAATAAACTAATCTCTCTAACCAACCAATCAACTAATATCTCTAACAAACCTATAAACTAATTTCTCTGACAAACTAATAAACTAATCTCTCTAACAAACTCGTAAACTAATCTCTCTAATAAACTAATCTCTCTAACAAACTAATAAACTAATCTCTCTAATAAATTAATCTCTCTAACAAACTAATAAACTAATCTCTCTAACAAACCAATCAACTAATATCTCTAACAAACCTATAAACTAATTTCTCTAACAAACTAATGAACTAATCTCTCTAACAAACTCATAAACTAATCTCTCTAATAAACTAATCTCTCTAACAAACTCATAAACTAATCTCTCTAATAAACTAATTTCTCTAACAAACTAATAAACTAATCTCTCTAATAAACTAATCTCTCTAACAAACTAATAAACTAATCTCTCTAACAAACTAATAAACTAATCTCTCTAACAAACTAATAAACTATTTTCTCTAACAAACCTATAAAATAATTTTTCTAACAAACTAATAAACTAATCTCTCTAACAAACCTATAAAATAATTTCTCTAACAAACCTATAAACTAATCTCTCTAACAAACTAATAAACTAATCTCCCTATCAAACTCATAAACTAATCTCTCTAACAAACCTATAAACTAATTTCTCTAACAAACTAATAAACTAATTTCTTTAACAAACCTATAAACTAAACTCTCTAACAAACCTATAAACTAATCTTTCTAACAAACTAATAAACCCATCTCTCTAACAAACCTATAAACTAATCTCTCTAACAAACTAATAAACCCATCTCTCTAACAAACCTATAAACTAATCTCTCAAACAAACCTATAAACCCATCTCTCTAACAAACCTATAATCTAATCTCTAACAAACCTATAGACTAATCTCTCTAACAAACTAATAAACTAATCTCTCTAACAAACTAATAGCTAATCTCTCCAACAAACCTATAAACTAATCTCTCTAACAAACTAATAAACTAATCTCTCTAACAAACTAATAGCTAATCTCTCCAACAAACCTATAAACTAATCTCTCTAACAAACTAATAAACTAATCTCTCTAACAAACTTAAATTAAAGGCCAAGAGAGCTCATTTCTGACAATTTTGAGGTGCCAAAAACATATCAAAATCTATATCTTTTTGGTTTTGTACAAAGACACTGTAAATAAATCAATCTCTGCTGAACTGAAGAAGGTTTTGCTGGGGCTTTGCACTCACTTGCTTAGGTCCAGGGTCCAGCACCCACAGACCCCACTCTAATGACAGGGCTATATCACATTCACATACAACTTTGTATGAAAACAAACACACATCTCTCCAAGATATGTACATTTGAAAATAAATCTGAGTTCGAGTGACAGTTGAAAAAATTCTAAGATTAACCGTACAGTCAAGTAACCTAATTTCGTGCTAACCTATTTTTCGTGCATCTACAGAAATGATTAATAATTAATATATGCGACCTCGGCATTTGCTTGTTTTGATAAACATGGGTTATCTGTACAATATCAGCTAGTAGAATGAATCCAGTGGTTTCAAGCAAGGTAAACTATATTAATGTTTACTTTGACAAATACAAAATTGCGGATATCAGTTATTACCAAACGTTACAATTTTTTATCGGCCAAATTTCCTTATAATCCCTAGCTGTAATCGGAATTCCAAGTGTCGTCTGCTAGAATGTATTCCAACGAATGAAGTCATGTGATCATCTAGTGGATTCCGTGTCAGCAGAAAATTTCTATGGAACACATATGTGGGCCATATTCTTACGTTGTTTCAATGACTTATAGCAATAAATCACACTACTGTCTTATTTTGTCAGTCACAATTTTGTTTTTTAAATTATGGTTCTTTCAAGGAATTGTCACTAGTTATAATGAATGGATATTAAAGATAAATACTAAGTTAATTATACCACCCGGTATCCATACAACGTGTTTTTCTAGACTTATTTATAGATCAAACATTGTACACGAAAATAGGTGACGCATTTTGCCGCCGTTGTTGAGTTGGTTACTCATGAAATGTAGGTCAAAGTGAGGGATTCATAAAGAAAATCGAAACAATTCAGTTTAATTATTTTATAGAATATCTGAGGAAACATCTAAGACATAAAAGACGAAAATAGGTTACACCACTGTACTATTTTGAGGCTGCTATTCCAGATCTCCAAAAATGATAGAAAAAAATTCAAAAAACTTTTTACTTTGCCCAGACAATAATGGGAAAAAATTAAATATTGATGATATAGAATTTATAAATAACACCATACCAAACAAGCCATGTCCAATTTAAATGAAACAATAACTTACATTGAAAATGTCAACAAATTTTTTAAAAGCAAAAGAAAAGGAGAAAACGCCCACTTTTCTTCCAAACTTACCGACACTGTGCCTGTTCCATGTTTCTCCAAATAACCCTCAAAATCAGCCGACTCTGGTAAACTGACAGCCATTTTCGAGATGATCAAAAGCAGATATTTACAACTGAATAAAAACAATTCATATTTTCATTGACTCCATTAATGTCATGTCATATGTCGACAAGAAAATAAAGGGTCAAAATTGACAACTTCCTCCTTACTTTATTTACCTTGTTAAAACGGGGTCAACGCACGAATGGGAGATAATCCAAGACGGACCGAATCTGAATACAATGGATACATTTAAAAATATTTTAAACCCTTTTAGCATACTGTCTTGACTCTAATTGCAAATAAAAAATTTATCAAAAATTGAAAAAAGGTATTTTTTACGAACTGCCAGTAGTTAATATTAATATGGCATAAGATCTAACACGAAAAGTAACAAATCTGTAGGCGTAGGCGCGCGTCTGTGCAGCAGTACTAATAATATTGATTCACCACATTAAGTTAAAAACAAATACATGTATATCTACATAGAGATTAGGGTGGTTGGAAGGTAAAAAGTTACTATCCAACAGAATGCACTGGCACAGGGTTAAAGCAATGTTCATGAATGTTAAGGCAGTGCAGAGTTAGTTGACTCAGCACATAGAATAATACATAATAGAAATAACTCTATGGGTAAGTAAATTAACTGTGGTCTGAGGCTGAATCATGGGCAATTCCCGATTCTATTTTAGGTATTATTTACAAAGCGAAAGAGAAAGTAGAACTTTAACTAGGAGTTAGGGAGAGGCATTTAATTAAGATAGCAGGGTAATTATTATAATATTACATAAAGTCTACATCGAATTCTCGATACTTTGAATGAGGGCAATAAATTATGCATAGGATAGGCCTACTCTGTATTAAGATATATAATAAGATAAGATGTCGCTCAATAAAACTGGAGGAAAAAAGATTGTACGGCTAGATAAAAGAGACTAACGCTCAGCTATTACTTGGAAATTTTCATCGATAAGGAAAGATGCGATTTTTCCATCAAAATTTCCGGGAACGTCATATTTGTTTTTTTCCATTTGGCATTTCTAGATGTGATAAAGCCAGTCAGGTTAGTAGACAATATTAATGAAGGGCTTAATTAACCAAATACTTGATAATTGCAAGTAAATTGTAGTAGGCTGCAGTCTTACTCAGTGATGAAGATTAATATGTCAAAATTTTTGCTCATGACAAATGTAAAGAAACTAATTGTTTTGGGGCCTATGTACCTAGTAGCCTACATGTCTGTTCCTGATTGTGCGAATGAAGACAATCAACGCCATGAATTGTGTAGTGAGGGAAATTTTTTCAAGACAAGGGCATTTGTACCTTTTTTATATGCCAACATTATTGTGGATTTCCCTAGCTACTTTCTGACTACATTGGGCTATGAATCAATTTTTTCTCACATTTCATAAATATTCAAAATACAACTTTCAACTGTATTTCATTCAGTCTTGTGTTTTGTTATATGTATTCCATTCGTCTTAGAATGTCTTTGGGTCCATCGGAATATAAGATACAGTGATTTTACATTTAAAGGTACTGATGCGCCATTTTAGTAGATTGATTTTAGTCTGGAATGAATGTAAATAGTCTTTAGAAGTACTAGAAATGTACGAAAATTGCATAATTCCTTTAAAAATACTTCGAACTAGGAATTTTATTCATTATTTCTACATACCGGTATCTTTTCTATATTGACGAGTCGTCATTTTAACATTCAAAGGCGGATAATTCTGGACACACATGGATTTGAAGACTCGAATTTCATTAGATCATGATGAAACTTGATATACTAGATGAATATTGATCAAATCTTGGATGAGTTTGATCTTCATCCATTTTAGATGAACGTTTGCTTTTTAAGTTATATTTGTGACTAGGCCAAAGTACATCAATTTTCGCTTGTGAATGCAATGGAGAATAAAGTTTTTATCTGATTTACACGAGGCTGGTACCAATATTTCTTATTGTTATCGAAATGTCAATTCTTTTTTTTTTTTTTTTTTCGATTTTTACACACCTTCCTGAGCTTAGACTACAATAGTTGCAGCAACCATTCAACATTCACGAACCTTAGATATAGGCGACGATGTGCATAAATATATTTTGGATCTTTTTTGCAAAACCGAAAGTGCCACAGTTCAATATGTGCAAGAATAGATAATCGGCTCTAGAAGTCGTATTTTTTGGTCGATTTTCTTTGGGTTTGCATTTTTGGAATCTACTGTTAAAATCTGAAAGAATAGCAGTTTCAAAATTTCAAAATTCGAAAATTTGTCGCAAACATTTTTTGGCCGATTTTCGAAATTTTTGAACCATTTTTCAGTTTTTTTCGGATTAATCTGAAATTTTGATAAAAGATGCATGTCACTAATGTAAACCATTTGACGTATTCAAAATTTTTGCGTCACTTCCGGTTAAAGTGGAAAATCGATTTTCACTTCCGATGAATAACTTCCGGTGTGATTGAAATATTTCAACGAAATTATGTATATCGTTATTAATCTTAATTCTATGGCCGATTTTAAAATAAAATTTAGTCCGAAAAAAATACTTCGGCCGCCATCTTGATTTGATACTTTTTCATAAAACTCAAAATGGGGCTTCGGGGGAGAATGGGATTGGTCAAATTTTTATGTTGGTGTATACTTTAGTCGATGGCGACAAAAATGTTGGAAATAGATTTTTGAATTTGACTTTTGCTTTTTTGCAACTCCCGGTCGAATTTGTTCAATTTTTGAAGGCTTGTATCTCGTGACCTTGACCTTTGATTACCTTGACCTTTATAGGGTCAAAGGTCATTGACCTTGGCTATCATTTGATACTTTGACCTTTGACCCCAGACGTGTACTTCCGGTTTTATAGCTATCCGTAAAAAGTCAAATTCGCAACTTTGGACTGCTCTAACACGTGACCTAATTAACCTAGAGGGTTAATTTTTTCAGTTTCCTAATGTTCTTTTCATGCACTTTACATAGATATAGAACAAGTGCTTTTTTAAAGCAAAATTGAAATTGGTGATTTTTTTAAATTTGAGTTTTGTTTTACCATATTTGTGTCTTTTTGATCTTGGTGTATGTATATCTTATGTCCTATTTTATGGAGAACCTTGATATTTGGAATACAACTAGACACTTTGAATATGAATTCACCTATGGCAAAAAAATTGGGGTGGGCGTGGCACATCCGGGTTGAATTACTAATTGTTTACATTTTGGGGCTGGGGCATAACTCACATAGGATACGTTTGTTAAAAAAGGGACTTTGCACACAATTACCTCATCCTTTTGGCCAGTTTGTGTTAACAGCTCAGTTGTTTCAGCTTTATAGTTCCAAAAAAGGAACGGGTTTTAACATTTGGATATTTTCATTTTTCGATTTTGACCTTTGTTGACTTTTGTTGACCTATATCTTTTGACCTCTATTATGTAGGAACTTGACATTTTGAACATAACGTAACATTTTGAATATTGATTAACTTATTCAAAAAAAAATTGAGTTGGGCGTGGCACTTCCGGGTTAAATTACTCATTATTGACATTTTTGGCCAGGGGCATAACTCGCAAAGTATACATTTGTTCAAAATGGAACTTTTTACACAATTACCTCATATTTTTAGCCACTTTGTCTTAGAATTTTGGTTGTTTCCGCTTCATAGTTCAAAAAAAGGAACAGGTTTTGGAAATTCAAAATTTTCAATTTTTGACCTTGACCTTTGTTGACCTTGACCTTTGTAGGATCAAACGTCATTGGCATTGGCTATCTATTTATACTTTTATATTTGCTGTCCTAAGTCAACTTCTGGTTTTATAGTCGTTAGCAATTTGAAATTTTAATGGTGTATATCTCTTGATCTTGACCTTTTTAGGCCTTCTCCTTTACAAGTTCAAAGGCCATTGACCTTGGCTATCTGCTGATACTTTCATTTGTGAGGTCTGACGTCTACTTCCGGTATTAAAATCTTCTAAAAAAAGGAAAATTTCTCAACTTTAGACTGTTCTTGCGCTTGATCTAATTATCGTGGAAGGTTGATTTTTTCAGGGTCTTTTGCATTTTGCTACATTTGCAAAGTCCCACTCTGTGCCACGAGTGGCTCTAGTTTATATTTATTATTAACAATAACAACAAATAAGGAAGTAAAATGATAGTTCCAGCCTGGTATTTTTATTTCTAGATGTGTTTCCTTATTTTCATGCTAATATTTATGTGAACAGAAAGTAGAGGTGTTCTATTTTAGGTATTATTTACAAAACGAAAGAGAAAGTAGAACTAGAACTTGAACGAGAGGAAACAAAGTAACAGAGTAACAGGCATTTTGATAGCAATTCAGATAGCAGGGTAATTATTATAATATTACATAAAGTCTTCATCGAATTCTCGATACATTGAATGAGGGCAATAAATTATGCATAGGATAGGCCTACTCTGTATTAAGACATATACAGTGGTGTAACCTATTTTCGTGGATATAAGGATTCAACACCGAATTTTGTCAAAACGAATTTTTTATTTTTTTATGTCTTAGATGTTTTGTATTCTACAAAATAATTAAAATTGGTTTATTTCGATTTTCTTTATGTATCCTTCACTTTGACCCATATTTCATGAGCAACCAACTCGGCAACGGCGGCAGAATGCGTCACCTATTTTCGTGTACAATGTTTGATCTATAAATAAGTCTAGAAAAACATCTTGTATGGATACCGGGTGGTATAATTAACTTCTCTTAGTATTTATCTTGAATATCAATTCATTATAACTAGTGACAATTCCTTCAAAGAACCACGATTTAAAAAAAAAATAGTGACTGACAAAATAACATACGTAGCGTGATTTATTGAAACAAGATAAGAATACGGTCTACTTTGTGTTCCTGATCCAGAAAGGTCAAAAAGGCTTTTTTAGTTTATCCAGACTGTACATACATGGACATTTATAATTGGTCAAAACTCTTAAAAGCAATAAGAACACTAGAGCCACACGTACTACGATAGTTACATCACGCGCAAGAGCTGTCTAAAGTTGAGAAGAATTCTTTGGAAGATTGTTATAACGGAAGTAGACAGACCTCACAAATGAAAGTATCAGAAGATAGCTAAGGTCAATGACATTTGACATTGAAAGGGAGACAGTCAACAAAGGTCAAGGTTACGAGATACAAG